ATAGATTATACAAAGTTTGGTTCATATTGCAAATTTCATTCGCCTGATATTGGATTTATAAATATTAAAAATGTTGACCCTTTGTGTCAGAAAGTGTGGATTAATGGGTCCCATCTTCCTATCTGATGTAGGCTTGGTAAAGATGAGTGTCGTTAAAATCGGACATTCCATTAGCCTGATATTGAATTTGGAAATATTGAAAATGTTACCCTTTGTGGGGGAGGTACCAGAAGGAGCAGACCAATGGGTCCCATCTTCATACTTGGTCGAGGCTTGGTAAAGATAATAGGTTGTACAAATTTTGACCATTTTGTGGGGGAGTTACCAGAAGGAGTTTACCGATATTCCCCATATTCGAACTTAAACTAAGTTTGGAATAAATATATAGAAGTGCAAAGCTTGAATGAAATCGATTATTCCCTTCGAGAGTTATCGTGCGCACCAGCCAGACAGACAGACGGTCAACACACGGACGGACATGGCTAAATCGACTCCAAATTTTCTTTGCTCGAGTTCTTTAAAATATCCTCCCTTCTATTCGTTAAATGAATAAAATGTATTTTATTTTTGTGTTAAACACGTTTTACTTCAAAAAATATTTTTAAAAATGAATGAATGACTATATGTCTTATTTAAAAAAATCTCTTAAAAATCCAACCTCTGAATTTCCTTCAAAAATTTTTTCGAAAAAAAATCGGCGATAATAATTCTTATTGCTCAAAAATTAATTTTCAAAAATATACCTTAAAAATTCAAGATGTGTATAGCTCTGTAATTCCTCCAGAAATATTCTTAAAAAATCCAATATTACAGGTCAATGTTTTCAAAAATATTCCCAAAAAATCCAAGCTTTACAATTTCCTTAAAAAATATTCCGAAAAATCTTCTTAGACGTGTATAGCTCTGTAATTCCTCCAGAAATATTCTTAAAAAATCCAATATTACAGGTCAATGTTTTTTTCAAAAATATATTTCCTTAAAAAAATCAAAATATGCTCAGATATTCCTTTTTCAAAAATATACCTTAAAAAATCAAAATATGCACCTCTAAAATTCCTTCAAAAAATATTATTTATTTCTCTAAAATCCTTGATTGTTATTTCTTGTATCTCACATTGCCACAATGTCTGTTGAGTTTTAAATTGCTTCATTTAATTTATTCGAAAAATTGGAGATCATCTCAAATCGAGAAAATCGATACCAAATCCCCAAACACTACCACAATTTGACACTTGCCTAATAATCCGAAGCAAATCAATATGTTGTCCACCAAATTGTGAAGCTATACCTATGTCATAATAAGGTGTTAACTCTTGGAAATCCATAAAGTGGTTTCCAATGACAACAAAAAAATCATGTGAATATTTTGACATATTTATGAGGCAACAAAAACCTCAAATTGTCCAAATGTAAATCTAGGAAAAGAAAAACCAATAAAAAAAGCAACAAAATTCTAAAGCCTTTCTTGGGAAATATATAAAAAATGGAATGGAAAACAAGTACCAAAAAATATGAAACGTCCATTCATGCTCAACATCGCACAAGTGTCATCCTTCATATATGTATGTACGCACATACACATACGACACATGACTCTACATTATCCTCCAACTAAAAACAATAAAAAAACAAAAATGTATCCAAATCTCATCTCATGTTATCTTCGTTGATATATTTATGAGTTTTCCCAGTTTAAATACAACGCTTAGCCATTGCCTAAGAATTGTTACAAATATTTGGGTTTTAAATTGCATTTCAATAACCAAACACAAGACATTTTTCTAGTTTTCAATATTATATTTGTGTGTGCGTGTATGTTTCATTTATTAAATTTATGTTTTATTTACATTGTATATTATGAAGAGTATCCTCATCTCATCTAATTTTATTTTTAATAATTTCATAAAGTGTGCTCTCCAAACAATGAACACCAACAAACAACACTTGTCCCTTTAACATGTCCACTTGAAATAGGATATTGAATTTTTTCGCACTCTATATTTTGTCTTTTTCCTGGAGAACCCAATAGAGCATCACTTCTAGCTCTCACTTTCATTTTCCCAGTACACTTCACATAGGCTGAGTAGGATTTCATAATTTACTGTAAATATTTACATTATTGTTTTTTGGTGGTGTTGGTGGTAGTGGGGAGGTCATTATCAATATTTTTATGAAGTAAAAATTCAACCATTAGGTCTACCGCATAATGGTTATGGCGATAAGCATATACATTTTTAAAGACATTGTTTTTTTTTTTTTTGAAATGGGTTAAGTGCATAAAAATAAATTTAGAATATACCCTCTACTTTGTTTAGATGACAAAAAAAACACCGTAAACAAGTTTGAAAAAAGTGGAATGAAAATTTTTGCCATAAGAGTGGATTTTTCAAAGAATATTTCTTAAAATATTTATTACATAAGCCAGAATTTTAAGGATATATAAGTGTGGATTGTTAAAAATTTAAAGCAAAGAATATATCTTCAAAGCATGGATTTTTAAGCATGGAATATTGGATTTGTTACTGAATATTTTTTCAAGGCACATTAAGCCGTACATTTATTAAAAAATTCATTTTCAATGATTTTTTAGATTTTTATAGAACATTTTTTCAAGGACCGTTGAGGCGTAGATTTTTGAAAGATTATTTTTCAAGGACCATTATGGCGTAAATTTTTTAAAGATTATTTTTCAAGGACCATTATGGCGTAAATTTGTTAAAGAATATTTTTTCAAACTCCATTAAGGCGTGGATTTTTTAAAGAATATATTTTTCAAAGTCCCTTAAGGCGTAGTTTTTTTTAAAGAATATCTTTTTCAAAGTCCCTTAAGGCGTGGATTTTTTAAAGAATATATTTTTCAAAGTCCCTTAAGGCGTAGTTTTTTTTAAAGAATATCTTTTTCAAAGTCCCTTAAGGCGTAGATTTTTTAAAGAATATATTTTTCAAAGTCCCTTAAGGCGTGGTTTTTAAAGAATGGTTTTTCAAAGCCCATTAAGGCGTGGTTTTTAAAGAATGGTTTTTCAAAGCCCATTAAGGCGTGGTTTTTAAAGAATGGTTTTTCAAAGCCCATTAAGGCGTGGTTTTTAAAGAATGGTTTTTCAAAGCCCATTAAGGCGTGGATTTAATCCTAGGTTGGAACCCTAGCCGTACTCAGAATAATAATTATATCAGTTTTGACTTTAAGGCAAAAAATATAAAATTGAAACCGATTGTAATGAAGAAGATATCTCTTATATTTCAAGTCCACATTTTTGCAATGAATAATTGTATATTTTAATAAAAACAACTAAATGATCACTAAATTAATAAAAAACCAGTAACGAAAGTAGTAACGTCGGACGGGGCCGACTATATGATACCCTTCACCACTTTGGGTTTATTAAACAAATTAATCCTAACGGATGTCGCATTTTAAAGGACTTTGATACACCATTTACCTTAAATCGGACGAAAATACATATGGGAGCTATATCTAAATATGAACCGATTTTCAGGAAACTTAACACACATCATTCTAGACGTAATTCATTACGCTGTTACAAATTTCGTGCAAATCGAAGCATATGTAGGGACTTTGGTGCACAATTTACATTAAATCGAACAAAAATATATATGGGAGCTATATCTAAATCTGAACTTATTTTCAGGAAACTTAACACACTTCATTCTAGACCTTATTCATTACGCTGTGCCAAATTTCGTGCAAATCGAAGCATATGTAGGGACTTTGGTGCACAATTTACATTAAATCGAACAAAAATATATATGGGAGTTATATCTAAATCTGAACTTATTTTCAGGAAACTTAACACACTTCATTTTAGACCTTATTCATTACGCTGTGCCAAATTTCGTGCAAATCGAGAGATATATAGGGACTTTGGTGCACCATTTACATAAAATCGTACGAAAAAATATATGGGAGCTATATCTTAATCTGAACCGATTTTTTCCAATTTCAACAGGGTTCGTCCATGGGACAAAAAAAGTGACCTATGCCAAATTTCATCCAAATCGGATCATAAATGCGACCTGTACTTTGTTCACAAAAATACATGAACGGACATACAGACGGACATGCGTAAATCGACTCAGAAAGTGATTCTATGCATATTCTCAAAAGGAGTCATGTATCTACCTCGTTTCCTTTTGCTTGTACCACAGTGTGGTGAAGGGTATAATTAGAACCAATTTAAACCCTTTGATAATCCATAAATTTTGGCAATCCGGAATGTGGTAGAACTTCGACTTAATTTTTAACAAATTAATTCAAATAAAACCCAGATTTTTAGATTTTTTTATAAATATTTATGAAACAAAGTAATTTTTTTATTTTTTTAATATATTTTCAGAATTGTGAAAACACAAACTTTTGTTCCACACCAATACTGGGCGAAGTGCACTTTAGTAAAAGTACAAAAGAAAGGAAGTCAAGTAAGCACCATTATGGTATGGAATGTTCCAAAGATCAAAATAATATCGAAAAACAACAAAATGTTTGCCTCGTACCAACGTACCAGAAACAACATTCATTCCGAGAATATTGTGCATGGAAATGAAGAAAATAACAAAAAAAAAGTTCAAAAAACGCTTGCACTTGCAAGTAGAATTGCTGGTAGGTATAGGTTTTCAGTTTGTTCAATAAGTATAGTTGACGACTATACCATACCTACATACTCGTACATATGTGTGTACATAAATGTGTATACATGATGTGGGTATATATATATACTTGGTATATATATGGCGCGACTTGAACCCAAAAGACTTTAAGAAACAACAACGAGTTCATTTTGTTTCTTATCAGTGGAACAGAACAGAAACGAAAAAAAAGAAACAACAACCCAAACAGTCAAGCGTTGGGTACTGCCTGCACTTTTTATGGGCGAACGAACAGCCCCATGAAGAAGAAGAGACGAACAACAACAACAACAGAAACAACATCGATTTTAATATACTATATTTGTAGAAATGTCATTTATACAAATGTACAATAAGAGCAAAAACAACAACAACGACAGCAACAGCAACAACACACAATTTATAAAACGCGCTTAAAATTCCGTCGATTTTATTTTTTTGTTCAGTCAGCCATCTACCCCAGCCCCAAACGCCTGCCTGTCATTATGGTTTGTTGTTGCCTCGTTGTGACTTCGTTGACTTTGTTTTGTTTCAGTTCAGAAAAAAATAATAATTTCATATATTTTTCCATAATTCTATAGAAATCCTCCTTTATTTTCTTAAACCATTCAAGAATGTAATGAAATCGTATGAAGAACAAAAAAAATAAAATCATCATCATCGCCATCGTCAACAACACAAAAGAGACCCCGAGCCTTTTTGTATTCGTTGTTGTTTTTTTATTTTATTTATTTTTTTTTAGTCTACACTTCCTGTCAAAGTTCAGTTGGGCGTTTTTGTTGTTGTTATATAAAAAATAATTAACTTTTTTACATATTCTTAATAATGAGCTGTTAAAATACAATAAATATATAAATCCATTATTCACTGCAAGCATTTATTGTAGTCTGAAGATTTTTTAAAGTACAATGTTCAGAATAATACATAAAAATATTCTCAAAAATATCAGTATATAAAAAACAAAAAGATACCACTTATACTCTGCTCTTATATCCTCATTCGACCAATTTCGAAAAGTGGATTGGTTCATTATATTTCTGGGGAGCATATGGATATATTTTGAATTTTATTAAGGAGGATATTTTCTCCACTTAACAATTCTACAAATTTAAGACCTTGGAAATATTCTTTAAAAAATCTACGCCTTTATGGTTCTTGAAAAAATATTATTTAAAATCATCGCTTTTAAGGTTCTTGAAAAAAAATGTTTAAAAAATATACACCTCTATTGTCCTTGAAACAATTATCCTTTGAAATTGTATGCCTTTATGGCTCACGAAAAAATGATTTTTTTAAGTTGCTTTGAAAATATATTCTTTAAAAAATCTTCGGCTTAATGGGCTTTGAAAACATATTTTTTAAAAAATAAACGCCTTAATGGGCTTGGAAAATATATTCTTTAAAAAATCGACGCCTTAATGGGCTTTGAAATTATATTCCTTAAAAAATCTACGGCGAAAAGTTCTAAAAATTTACACCTTTCTGGTCATTGAAAATATATTCTTTAAAAAATCTACGCCTTAAGGGGACCCCACCCATTCTCGGTTTCAAAAAAATTTATTTTTTTATTTTGATTTAATTTGAACCTACACTAATTCAAGAATGTCCCTATAAATTTTCAAGTGAAAATCTCAACAATTTTTGAAGATATAGCCGATTTATTGTGTTAGCATCAGGTGACAGCTAGAGGGCTTCTCAAACTTTAAACGCGTTTTTCTCCAAACAGCGTTTTTGCGAATGGCGGGCACGATATCTCTAAAAAACTAATAACTCAATTGATTTCAAATTTTGGGACGTTTCTCTGTGAGTGTATAGATATCGTATGAACTAGGATAAAGCCAATCGGTGAAGATCTTCCTAATTTTTTAAATTAGTTTGTGGCCAAAAATAGGCTAGTTTTCAAAAAAAAAATTTTTCAAAGTTCCGCCATTTTGTTAATTGTTGTGCGAAGTCAATAATCCTAGTTCATACGAGAGCCAGACATGTACTCTTCCTAACGCCGTTGGAATTTTCGGATTCCCATGTTCCAGTGAGGAGTTATCATGCCCGCCATCAAAAATAAGGACATTTCTTTGATAACAAAAAACAACAATAAAATTTTTTTGTAAATTATTTTTCTTTCTTTATTCATTTACCAGCTCATTTAAAATCTTAAAAAAAACATCGAGAATAGGGGGGTTCCCTTAATGGGTTTTGAAAATATATTCTTTAAAAATCTACGCATTAATGGAATTTGAAAATATATTCTTTAAAAATCCATAGAGGACCATAGAGGCGAACATTTTTAAAATAGTATTTTTTCAAGGGCCATTAAGACGTTGATTTGTCAAAAATATTTTTTTAAGGTCTTTAAGGTATTTTTTAAGCCTGACTATTTTGCAAAAACAAAATACAAATGGTATCCCAAATAACCCGCCAAACACTACTGAAGTCTTAAATTTGTATAATTATAAAGTGAAGAAAATACCCTCCTTCAGAAATGTTCAAAACAGACCCACAAGTTCCCCAGAAATATAATGAAACATTCGACTTTTAGAAATTGGTCCAATGAGGGAATGAGTCTTCCCTTTAACTTTGCCTGACGAGCTATACCCCGCATGATTATTACAGTGTTTCTTCCTCCTCCCCCTCTCCTAATTTCCAATAGTAATTTCCGAATAAGAAAAATTCCATTCCTTGCTATTTCTCATATATACCTACCTGAAAGCAGCATATTTAACCCTTTCCGACCAAAGGATTAATTCTTTAAACCAAGGTTTAGATGAAAAAGTCAAGAATAAATTCCAAAACTTTTGGGGATTTTCAGGCGATTATCACTAACAAATATGGCCAATGGCTTATTAAACCCACATCCATGAGGTTTGCGCTCTGGAAATGAAGTATACCTCCAATAAAGAGATCAATTTTATGCGGTGCGGATTGCGGTGTGATCCGCTGACACACTCATGGTGGTGGTGATTGCTAATAATATTCTTGGTCAGTATCTAAGTGAGCTTAGACTGATTAAAGGGGCGTTTGACAAAATGTTTCAAGTGATTTAAGAGGCACAGGCACTCAAATATTAATATGTGTGTTGGTGCTACATTGTGTTTGTTGTTGTTAGTTATTTTGTCATTTGAAATCCCATCTGGGACAATCATTTCATATAATGATGATCATCTATGAAATTTTAGATTGTCACTGAACATAGCCTCTCTCTAGGGGCCATGTGTGTTTTGATTTTTCGGAGATTCTTGTTTTTTTGGTGGTGGTAAACCGAGCATTACACGGATCATTTTAAGGGATTTCGTAGGCGTTCACTGCATTTATGAGCCATAAGTGACAACTCTTTCGTTCGTCCGTTCGTTTGTCCGTTCTTTCGAGTGCGTTTGGAGGGTGTGAGCATGAAATGCCCGGTCTTCTGCTGCTGTTGCTGATCACTGTTGAGCGTGATAGAAAACACTGTTGTTGGCTAAACTAAGCAGCAGGCCTGGTATCTGCCTTTCATTTTCGTATTCGTGTTTTTGTTGTTGCTTTCCAACTGGCAAAAAGTTTTTCCCAAACGACAAATTTGTCATATTGGACAGACACCAACACATCGACACTCACTCTGAGTCAGTGACTCAACATATGCAAATAAGCGAAACGCTGCGTGAATTTCCCTCGGAAAATAAAGGGTTTTGCAGGCGAAGTGAAGTTTATGCCGGCGGGGGAGGTAACCGCAAAAACCAATGACCACCTCCGGGTCTAACAGCTGCAAATTGATAAGACTACTTCGTCTTCTCCGCGTTCTCCTGCATTTCGATCTTTGATAACAACGTGCAACATGTTATAACACGTGAGGTGCCCGCATCCCACTAAAAAAGGCAACTCATGGTCATGGTCTTTTGCCGCTTACCTTTTACACGCGTTGTCCATACTTTTCATACCTTTCCACAGGAGTTTCCTCTTCATAATACAAATGAAAAAAAACGAACGCCAACTCCACCGCGTGCCCGAAAAACGAGAATAATTAAAAAAATAAGGTGGTGTTTCTGTCTAAGATCACCACATTAAACTAAATGGAGCGATCAATGCGGCCATGGTTGATGGTGGTTCCTGCTATTCCCACACACTCAACACCATGTTATCAGCAGCAGCAGTAAATTGCCAGTCGTCTAAAAACTAAAATTCAATGTTCGATGTCACAAGTAGCTCACGCGTATTTATCGTCTAAAGTATTATCACACCTTCGTGTGAACCAGGGTAGACTTACATCACTCCTCCTGCTTCTCCGTTATAGAGTGTCTAGTACCCAGTAGTCATATATCTAAGATAAGATATTTTATCATAAACTTTATTTTTATGGTGTGATCTTCTCGGGAGAAAATGGGGTTTGAGAATTTCGTTATCAATAATTCGACGCTTCGAATTGCACTGCTTAATTAAACCAATAGGACATTGACTTTTAAAATAATATATTTAAGGATTTTTTAAGGAATGTATTTTCAAGGTCCATTAAGGCTTGGATTTTTTAAAGAATATTGTTTCAAGGCCCATTAAGGCGTAGATTTTTTAAAGAATATTTTTTAAGGTCCATTAAGGCGTGGGATTTTAAAGAAAATTTTTTTTCAAGAGGGAACACATTCTTGGTCAAATTTCCTTACTCATTCTATATTATAGTTTTTATGCCCAACATTGCTATCCACATATAGGTGGTATATATTAGTCAAACAGATTTCTTGTGTTTGGAGGTCCATAGTGAAATTTTGCCGAGAATATGGTTCCCATTGACATCGACCCCGGCAAATTAAGTTATGGGGGAGAATCGTGACCATTTTGTGTGATGTGCCCCTTTCCGCATCTTTTTTAATATATTTTTTAAAAGAGGTCCAAAAAGACCCATAAAATGGGATCATAGAGCTTTTCGATGTTCCACAAACTTGTTTGCCGGAATAATGACAACATTATTGCAGACCACATCCCGGATCCAAAATCCAGGGATCCCATGGTAATTGGCTTGACAAAATTTTATATTCTCATTTCCAGCAGATTTCTTGTGTTTGGAGATCTATACTGAAATTTGACGAGGAATGTAGTTCCCTTTGACATCGACCCCAAAATATGAAACTCTGGAGGAGAATTCTCACGGTTTTAGTAGATGTGCGACTTTATAAACCTTTTAATATCTTTTTAAAAAATAGTACACACAAGACCCATTGAATGAGGTTTTAGAGGGTTATGATGTTTCACCAAAATATTCCCCAGAATGTTGGCAACAATATTGCTGACCACAACTAGTAGCCGAACTCGAAGGGTCACAAGAAAATTGGATAGATCTCCATTTTGGTCGATTATTATTATCTATTGATATTATTTTGTAGACCTAAATTACCATCTAAATTTTGATCGTAT